TTTAACACCAAATGATGTCCGGCCGTTCTATGAAAATTTGGAAATTTGGAAGGTTATTTTGAAATCCTACATTTTTTTAAGTAACCAACGTTTAGTAATATAATCATCCAAAGTTTAATGGATAGTTTGACTTTGCCGTAAAAAGTAGCCAATATGATCCAAGTAATTATGTTTCAATGGTCTAAACGTAAGTGGAACATTCTGTCCCTATTAAAACAAGATCCAACTTACTTTGGGTCCTATTGTTTCAATATTTTAATTTATTTTTTTTGAAAAAGCTAACACTATACAAATTATTTTTTAGCATTTTGTTACAAAACAAACAATAACAAAATGATTCAAGTTTATTAGAATCTTATTGGCCATCATATTTCATAGTTTAGTATTTTTTAAGAATGATTCATACACAAGTGGATCATGTCATGTGTTGTTGAATGAGAGTCCAGGACACCTGGATCGTTCATTAAAAATATTTCTGGGAAAACTGCGTTTTTATCAAAAGGCTACATAATTATAATTTCGCCAATATTAGAGATATCGACACGAGTCTTTCTAGCATGAAAGAATAGGCTACGGTGAATCACGTGGTATACTTAACTCATTTTCGCTCTAAGTGTGACTTGGATCTTTTTATTGTAACTACGTCCAATTATACAAAATAAACACATGTTGAAACAGTTTATTTTTTCTTATAAATTACTTTATGGCAACGAGGTTGGTATAAAATATTCATAATTTTAGGTCTGGTTTGTCTTTGAGTAATTTCACCACGTCTTTTGAAATATTAAGGATAAGTTTTGACAAATACATAGATATCCATAATGAACATGCATAGCAAAGGCAGTTTAGGTTTAGGTTAGGCATATTTAGGTATTTTTAACAACGATTTACAGCTGTCGTCGAAACACACCGCAGAGCAACCGAATACATCTCTTTGACTGGTCGAAGGTGACCAGTACGCCCGCTCCAAATCCTGGAGAGCTGGGCCCTGATTTTAATTGAAATCGGAGTCGATCCGACCGGGCAGCCCACCCGCAATATTATGCGCCTCGACTCTGAAAAGACGCAGTTTCAGATCGGGAGAGGCAATCAAAATCCAGCTGCTGGTCGAAAGGGCCTAGTACGTCCGGTCCATGTTTGCGAAGTTGGTTTTGGTTGAAGGGGGCCTAGTGCGCCCGGGCCACAGTTTGAAAACGATGGTTGAAGGGGCTTTGCGCGCTCAGGCCACGCTTTGGTAACTGGTAGAAGGGGTCGTCTCCTAGTCTTCACGCACTTACACGCGTACCTATATTTTATGTGCACGTCCAAATGTCAAAATGGTTGATCTTGTAAGAATAAATAATTAGAAGAATCAGTAAGTTAAATGATATTTGTTGTAGGTCCGTATTTTTCCGAACAGAATATTTTATTATAGTAGCAACGAAAACTGATAATAAAAGTAGATTCCTCTTTCCCACTACCATCACCGAGGAAAGTTTTTCAAGGGTTTGGTGTAACGGTGTTTCTCGTATATTAGGCTGCATTTCACTTAAATTTAGTGTTCAGCAAATTCAAATAGAAATAATAAGCCACATTATGTAATAAAATACTCAATATATTGAAGTAAGCAAACGATCGTAAACGATAACGATCCCACTTATTCACTTGACGCTGGAGGAGCCGGCCGCGGCCGCGGGCAGAGGCGACGAGCCGGACCTCTCCTCCTCTGAGTCGGACTCTTCGTCAGACACCTCGTCCCCTTCCTCCTCGGAGTCCGAATATGAATAGTCCTCACCTTCGGCGCCGTAGTCTCCTGCGTACCGTGCAAAGGTATAAGTAAAAATAAATTAGTCGCTCGTTCAAATTTGAGGATTGCATAAATGACAGCAAATAAGCCACCTGCATCTCCGTATCCCGCGTCGTCGTCGTCGTCGTCCTGCGCCACGCCCTGGCGCCCGTAGCGGTGCGTGCGCGCTGTATAACAACATGTTACCGGTCAAGTCAATAGGCTTGAGGAGTGATTGAACTACGAACTGTTAAGAATGAATTCCCAACACTAATCGAAAGGGTCTAGTCCTTTTTGCACGATCTTAATGCCGACTCCACACGCTTGCCAAACCATAGCAAGCGCTCGCAAGCACAAACGTGTGGATGGTGCGTTTGGATTGACTTTTATGTCAATGCGCTCGCGTGAGCTTGCATGGGTTTGTCGCCAGTCCGTTCCGTGTCGGTTATAAAAAATTTTGAAATTAATAATGTTATTTCTATTGTAATTAATTCCTCCTTACTAATTCAAATTCAAAATAATTTTTATTTCATAGGTAAGCATTATTACACTTGAAATCGTCACAATGGTTAAACTCTACCGCTCATTCGTAAGGCAGATTCCCCTAAGAAGAATGAGCAAGAAACTCTAGGGGTTGCTCTTTGTAAATAACATTTACAATATTTTTTTATTTGAAACATCAGATTGAGACTACCTCCATGAGCTAAACGGGTTACTACCACGGATTTTTGTCATCCAAGTACGCAGAAGTTGTATAATAACCTTTGGTATAAAGTTTTTGTTTCACTATAGTTTTAAACTTCGTGAAAGGCAAATTTTGTATATCAACCGGAATCTTGTTATAGAAGCGTATACATTGCCCCTTAAATGATTTTTTGACTTTGTGAAGACGACTATCAAGAAAAGCTAGTTTATTTCTATTCCTCGTATTAATGTTATGTCTGTCACTATTTTTCATAAAGAAACTACTATTCCTTTTAACATAAATTACATTTTCATAAACGTACTGTGAGGCTAGTGTAAGAATGTTAATTTCCTTAAACTTGTCTCTCAAAGATACTTTGGGGCCCAGATTGTAAATTGCCCTAACTGCACGTTTCTGCAGGACAAAGATTATATTGACATCGGCGGCATTACCCCAACGCAAAATGCCGTATGTCATTAGACTGTGAAAGTAGCTGAAGTAATAAAAAAGGTTCTGCTCCTTTTCACTTTTGATTCCATTGTGCACAAATCAAAGGAAGCTTGCGGCAAGCGTTTGGCACGTATCCATACGTTTGTGCTAATTAGTACCGTTTAAGAACTGTCGACAGGCAGAAGTTTCTTTTCTGCCACGTTGCACTTGCACAGTGGGCCTTTTGGCGAAATCGGATTTTTATCCGTTTTCGTGAACATGGCCTATCAATTTGAAATGGAAATCTTGATTTTTGATGGAGGGAATTTACTCAGACAACTAAATTCAATCAATTTGATGATGATGATGATGAATGTTATTTTGCTGCAACGAGCTGAATTTATTGGAGGTTTGTTTACCTTGTTTGAAAATTTTGAATGGAAAAACATTTTTAAAAATGGATATCTCAATTCTCGAGAGATTGCCCCTATAGGGTACGTACGGTATTTGTTGATCGCAGGTATTGTTCTTCAAGGCGGGTAATGATAAGTCCATTTTACGTACACTGTTAGTTTATTATACATTGTAAGTTCATTACAGAAGGGCACAGGCACAGCACAGGCAAGAAGTTCGTTAGCTAAGGCAGAAAGGATGTTATTAGCGGATATTTACGTAAGCGCGAATAACAGGTAAGCGAACAAGCAAGCGTCTCATGCCATGGTCAGCGGGCGACTGGCGGCCTTCCGACGCGACAGCTAACTACATAAGTAAGTACTTTATACATATTACATTATTATATCTAACTATGTAATTTACTTAATTACTGTGCTTATATTACTATTACATATTACATTACCTTAACCATTTTAACCTACGTATATTTACTTATGTAATTTATTTATTAATTAATTTAAGTAGCCATGGCAGCGTGTCGTACACGTGTGGTGTGGACCACTCCCCTCCAGAGACCGTCAAGGGCGATAGTAATTTGGGCACCGCACCTCTCTTCCAGATCGTGTTTTTGTGACAACATTTTCCTTTTCAGGTAACAGTATTTTTTTCTTCGGCCTTTGGACTGCTATCGTTGGTAAGTATGAATGCTGGCTTGAGTCTGTGGATCGTGACTGTTGTTGGTTTACCTTGTATCACCTATGTACACACTTTTCCATTTCTTTTTAGCACTTCGTAAGTATGGGCCTTTATAAGCTGGTTGCAGAGCTCCTTTAACGGCGTTTCCTAGTAGATAAACATGAGTGGTGTTGGCTAGTTCTTTAAATTTGTATATAAAGAACTAGCCAACACCATTGATCTATTACAGTGACGTGAGGCAGGTTGCCGGTGGGATGAACAGCGCCGCACTCTGACGGGGACTGTAGGGCAGGACCTCTCGCTGCCGAGCGTGGTTGCCGCCATGCTCGATAGCGAGGAGTCCTGGGAGGCGGTGGCCCCCTTTTGCGCAGAGGTTATGTCGCAAAAGGAGGCCGCGGAGCGGGTGCGCGAGGACGCGGCGGACGCGCACCCGCTCCGGCGACGCCGCACTCTGACGGGGAGAAGGCGAAGGCAGTTCGCTTCTCGCCTGATCCCCTAGTGAGACTAGCGGGCTCTGGACAGGAACTCCGGAGCCCGGCCTTGCACGGCCTCACTCTCTGGGGGGCGGGTCGAAGGACAACCGACTCGCCCCTCCGTTGGCGCGCGAGCCCTAGCGTAAAAGCTAGGGCGGCCGGGCGGCGTCGTAGTGAATGTTCACTGATCCCACGGCGCCGACTCAACGGGGGGTTAGTGGGGTAGGCCCTCCAGTCTGGAGGGAGAGTCCCCACATAAAGCTCATTCGAATTGTCTGCTTTTGTATGGCCGTCAAGCAATATCGATCACCTTCTGACACCGGTAAGGGTCATATTAGGTCCTATTATGCACGAACATAAATCCGCCGTGTGGAAGTCGTAATGAGCCTAGTAATGAAGATACATGCCGCTCTTTGGTCGCTGACAGGCACGGCAAGTCTTTGTCCTTTCTCGGCAATCCTTTTTATTCCTGGCCATACGAAGAGCTGAGTACCCAGTAAATGTAGGCTTTCGAATATTTGCTTCCTCATTGCTTTGGTGGGGTATGGCCTAAGACTCTGGTCATTAAAATCACAGTATAATTCCGTATTTGTGCCCGGGAGTGCAATTTTTCTCAAATCGAGAGATGTTTCGCCGTCCAGAAGTTGCTTCGGTTCCGGGTCTGTGATTTGTGTTTTAGCTAGTGTTTCTAAATTTACAGGCTGTACTATCTCTTATAGTCGGGAGAGGGTGCCGGCTACGACGTTATCTTTTCCCGATATATGTTGTGAATTGGCCAATATAATCTAAGCGTCAGAACTATCGTGGCGAACACTTGTTTTTTCATATATTGAATGCGAAAGAGATAGGCTTATGATCGGTATACACTGTAAAGTGTCTTGCTTCTAGCAAGTGTCTAAAGTACCGTATGCCTTCATAAATCGCTAAGAGCTCTCTGTCATAAGGTGAGTATTTCTGTTGCGATGGACTGAGCTTTCGGCTGATGAAGGCGAGCGGTTCCCAGGCGCCGCCCTTGTATTGTTGGAGGGCTGCGCCAATGGCTGTGTCTGACGCATCTGTGACGAGTGCCATTCTTGCGTTTAGGTCTGGGTGCGCCAAAAGTGTAGCTTGACATAAGCTTTCTTCAGTTTTGGCAGCACCAGGGATTAATTCTTTGTAAAAATTTAGCATCCCTAGGAATCTCCTGAGTTGTTTTACTGTCTTCGGTACTGGGAATTCTTTGATGGCTTCAGCTTTCCCGTTTAGTGGCTTGATTCCTTTTGATTTTTGATTGACTTTTGATTGATTCGATTTACTGCTGATGCTTCGAAGATGCACACACGTATTAATCACCATGCAATATTCTTGGAGTTTGGTGAAAAGTTGGGGGAGGTGAGTTTCAAGTGTCCGTTCGTCGTGTGAGAACACTAAGAAGTCGTCTAGACAGGCGTAGTAGAAGTCTAGACCTTGGGTGATCTTGTCTACGAATCGTTTAAACGTTTGGCCCACGTTGCGCAGACCGAACACCATACATGGAAATTCATAGAGGCCGAATGGCGTAGTAATAGCTGTCTTTGGTATATCGCTTTCGTTCACATGTATCTGGTAGTACGCCTTGACCAAATCGATCGTCGAGAATACGTGGCAACCAGTTATTATGTGTAAAATCTCGAATTGGGTAGCGATCTGGGATTGTATGGGCGGTCAATCGCCACATGGTCGCCATCCGTTATCCTTTTTTAGAGCAAGGTGGAGAGGTGATAACCATGCTCTTTCTGAGGGTCTTGCGGTACCGTTTTTCAACATGTCTTCAAACTAGGTTTTTGTTACTTTCAGTTTGTCCGGTGCCAGTTTTCGAGCAGCAGAGCAGCCAAGAGGGCCCGTCGTAGTCCTAATAGGGTGGGCGGTGTGTGTTGTTGGTGAGCGAATCCCGGCTGGGCGTATTATCTCTGGGAAACTACGAAGTAATTCGTGGTATCTGGATTTACCTATTGTAGTCTTGACTGATGAGATATTGTATGACCGTGAGACTGGTGCTTCTGTTGTCGCTATTGCTGTTGTACTATCTATAAGGCGTTTGTTTCGACAGTCAACTACCAAAGCGTAGAATGATAAGAAGTCGACGCCGATGATAGCCTACGTGACGTTTGCGAAGGACGTTTCCTTCCACGGGCAAGTGATTTTGTAATCAGAAGATGCTTAATTTATTCTAAAAACAATTATTTTGGTTTTATATGAATTTCGAGAAAACATTTGCGGCTTTTACTTGGTGCGATATATTTGTGATCCTTTGTTAGTACGCCATGAATATTGAACGAACGCACTTCTGTATAATGCATTCAGTTTCGTGGTTCGGCCGCTTGTACATTTCTTTGGCCAAATTTAACATTTAGTGATGTATACGTTAGGCAACACTGTACTCGATTCAGGTCGATTTTGAAAAGAAAGAGACGAAAATTATTATAACCTCAGTATATTATAAAAATATTCTATAACTCTTTTTTTATAACGTTTCGTTTTCTTTTCAGTTTTGTAGCATCTATTATCAGTAGTATCTGTGTAGGAGTATGTATGAGTTCGTTGTTTTCGAGGACGAAGGTCGTCTAGTTTATCCCACCTACGATGCTATCCAAATATGCAGAGTAGCAGAAATCCGAGAAATAATAAACAAATCACAAACATTTCATACGAGGCCGTCATGAAGTAAACCTATTTTGATTAATAAGATTTTACCATATTCTGTCAGCAGCAATATTTTCATTTGTCTTGCTATTCATCAATTTGATCAATTACCAACAGAAAACCATCTAGTAAAATTAATTAGGGCAGTCGCAAGTTCATATTTTGACGTGCGCTTTCATTATTTAAATTAATCGATAAGATCTTCTATTACAAAAAGATGTTATATAATAAGCTCATTTTATTAGAAGGACAATCATTTTAATATTTCAAGTCGATTAAGACTTTTTTTAAGTAATCAACATTTAATAAAAACAAGTAAAAAAAAGGACTTTAACCATTGACCTACCAATAAATGGACGTCGGGTTCGGGCTAAAAAGTGTCCGCACCTATAGGGCGTTAAAATCGCATACAGAGCGTCAATCGCGCAAAAGTCTTCGTTAGTTCAACTGACAGCGCGGATGTCAATCATACAGTATCATATAATAATAACTTGTAAAAATTACTGCAGTAAAGTATGAAAACAGGATTTTGTATCATATTTTCACTAAACAAATATATTGTGTTATCATAGTTCTCATTCAAAAGTGTTATTTTGTATAGTTCTAAAGTATTTAATTTATATTTATATGAGTCGTAAATATAAATTACAGAAGCACACAAAATAATCACATAGCTAACTGTCGTTTTTCTACTCATTGCATGCGCAAAAGATGGAAAGAGACCCATTACGTCAGTTTCAAGAAGTTTATATAAACTTCTTGGTCATTTTCAATTGTTCGAACCACAAGCGATTGAAATATTTAGAAGAAACTATAGAGTCGCTTTGATTTTAATCTTATTTTAAAATGATATTTTTAATTAAACGTTAGCAATAACCTAAGAGGATGGAAAAAATATATAAGTAACAAAATATTGTTGTATTCGTATTACGGCTTGGGTTTAATATTACCTATCAGAAGTCAGAAAATACATTTGCCCGAAATACCGTTAGCTCGAATTTTCATAATGTAAAGTGTATTTTTTTTTTTTACGCAAAATAGGCGCCTTGACGTCGAGTTGCGGACACCAGCCCGTTACACCAGCATGTATTTCTTTAAGAAGATTACAAAACAAAAGCTAATTTTGTCTTTGTGAAAAGCATCAAAATTACTCTAAAGCGTAATTGTTTTATTATAAATCGGTTTTTTGAGTTTACGTTTAGTTGGAATGGTAAAAGTATATTGGTATACGTGAAATACTGGTGTTATGATGGCAAATCTTTCCTTGATGTAGTGTATCGGTGGACAGTTGGTAACATACTACATAAAATAAAGTGTGAATCACGTATTTAAGTTAAAGTGCGGCACGTGGCTAAAGTAGATCGCCGCGTGCGCAGAGTTTTACCGAAGAATGTATGAGACTACAAATATATCATAAAAATTATAAATTCCATAATATTGTTTTCTTTACCCGTAATTTTATATTTCCTGTCCTCCTTCAAAAATCACGATATGCAGTTGTAAAACATGTCAGAGTCCAACGTGGACTTTCCGAGAACACCGCTGTTAATATTTAAGATATATACAATAATGACACTAATGCAACTTTTTTAAATAAAAATAAATTAAATGTCTGTTGTTCGTTGAGTGAGAATGATTATGTCTGGTAATGAATGACACAGTATAGCGTGCCCGTGCCTATAGAAAATATCATGGCCTTAGTGGTACTAGTGACCGGTGGGTACTGACTGGACATGCTGAGATCCGCAGTCAGGTGCGTGGTGTAGCCGCACTTGGGGCAGGGCGGCAGGCCGCGGCGGTCGGCCTTCACGCCGCGCCGCCGCACGTGCTCGTCGCAGAAGCACGTCTTGCAGCGCAGACACGAGTATTGCCCCAGTCGGTTGCATGACTGACCTGCAATAGCACGGTTTCTTCACGCTACAGAAAAGAGTCCATACTTCATTTGTATCTGCTGATATTATTTTCAATTCCGTTAAACTCTGAGATGAAATCCAAGTCCAAAAATGTAAACAAAGGTGATGCCATTACAGAAAAATATTTTACGAATAGTGAAACAGTGAGTGGAACAGTCAAAAGGGCTAAAAATGAATGCAAGATCGTTTTATATTGTTTTTAAATTGTGCGCATATACAGACAAAATATTATCAAATCATATTTCTATTTAAAACACCATATTTAATAAGATAATCTCAAAAACTATTTCCTGTGGAAAGATTTTTTATCCTATTGGCAATGTTTCAGGTATGAAAAACCTTTGGCTGTCCTTTTTGTTTATTCGATTTTTTATTATTTGTTATATATAACACAAATACTTTTAAGCAGGAGTGTGAATAATTTATGGCTACAATATTATTTTATTTTGTTTCATTTTAACGTATTGGAAGACCAACGGCTATCTTACAGAGGAAAAACTGAACACCGATAAACACACGTTAAGTTGATTAATGAGCATTAAATTAACATACTACATAACTAGTAACTATACTATAATACTTTATTAAATGAAATATTTTATTATTAAAAATAATAAAATTGAAATAATAACTTGGTTCATTACCAAATAGAGTTTAAAAAATGAAAAGTCAGTTTTTGATCGATAGGGATGGGTCAGGTTGTTGGGTTGCATCAGTGCATCAACGCGATTTTCCTGCTTCATTAGGTTTCTGGCGGTTATCGTTATCGAATGTGTTCCTTGCTGCGTATGCGTCATGTTGAGATTTTGTTTTTAATTGTTGAGTTTTCGTTTTGTGTTATTTTTTTGGTTGAGTTTGGTTTCACACTGTTGTTACATTTATGTTTGCTTGCGTTCATGTGAACACAACCACTATGGAGGCAGAAAAAGACCACGGCCTGTATTGTCCGTAACCGAGAATGTTACGATAATGAATGTCTACAATTAGTCGGTGTGCGAGTGTGCCAATAAAACTGCTGAGATTCTGGGAATATCTGAAATAACCGTTCGAAGAATTTTGTGTAATTTACTTAGGGCCGTGATCCTTCTCGATTCCTGGTCATTCTTGAATTGATAATATTTTTTTAATAATATCAAGTGACGGGACAAGTCGTGCGCCTGATGGTAAACTACACGCCTGTCCATAACAGTTGCAATGCCACTCAGGGCTTTAAATCGCAAAGATCTGATTGGCACTGCCACTGCGCCCGTCACCCTGAGACTTAAGATGACACCAGCACCCTTACCCTACAAAACCGGAACCCAGTAATGCTGATATTACTGCTTGGCGGCAGAAGTGGTAGTACTACCCTGGACGAACTCTTTCACAAGAAGCTCTACTGCTACTAAAATTTTATGACACAAAATGATTCAAAACAGTTTTGTAAATTGTTTAACCCAAAAGAGTATAATTCAATTATAATTTCTTGGTCGGAATAGAGTGAATCCTGTTAATAAACGAACATGGGAAAAAAGGTTTGTAATCTATGAGATGTCACTTTGACAGTGACAGTTGTTTGTTTACATTTTTGGACTTCCGACTCCGTCTCTGAGTTTAAATAGGTAGGTATATCGCATTACATGTGCGCAACATATCAAATTTCATGTTTGCAAGATTGCTCTTCACTTACACTTGTAGTTTTCAGACTCGAGCACCTGGCAAGAGGCCTGGTGCTCGAATTGGTCGTCCTCGCAGAGGAAACCGCGGCAGAAGCAACACTGGAACACGCGGCCACCGTGCTCCCACACGCCTGTACAATAAAGTTTGAAACACCTTAATTAAGTAACTTGTACTAACTTGGGTTATTTGCAAACATCTATGGCACAAGGCCAAATAAGACAAGGGTCATCACAAACACAAATCGCCACACAGTGGCACTGACCTCTCTCACACTCCAGGCAGACGGCATCCATGAGGGGACAGGTGCAGGCGTGTGTGGTGAGGCACTTGCGCCCATGACACACCCACGCCTCGCAGAAGTCACAGATGGCGCCCTGTAAATGCATCGATGTTAATACCTTAACAACTCTTAGTGTTTTTATTATATTGTAAATGTGCAAATGTGTTTGTCCTGGTTTTCGGGGATCGGTCCCTGTTACCGGCAGCCAGGACCTCCTTGATATGACATTGACCGCAGACTTTAATATGGCGCTAATGTTAAGTACAAACAGGGTAAAATTTTGGGTATCCTTAATAACGTGAAGCGATAAATCTCGCTTGGACAGCTTTTAACTCCGTACAAAGAGCAAGTCCAATATTGCATGAAGTATTGCAGTCAGTCACCTTTCGGATGGCGTAGCGAAACATCAACTACAGATTCTCGGCTCGATGGAACGCAAAGCTTCCAAGGAGGCTTACGGGCAACGATAAGGTCCGATCTAAAAGTTCATAGTTTCGCTCACTGGCACAAACTTGCGTGTCTGTTGCTTTTTTCAGAATAACATACTTCGGTGAATGTGCCCTTCAGCACACTCCGTGCGCCCCTTTTTACCGTTGAACACCCAGACGTACGACGGAATATCATCCCTACTTGGTCAATATCATCCCTACAGGCGTACTAAGCGACATCTGGAAATTCGCACTCGCCTCCTCAGTCTTGTAGCTTGACTGCAGACAAGTGCTGTAACGATCTAGTTTGTGACTGTCCCGCTATAGCTAAAACTAAATTTTGTATTGGAAACTAGAATGCATGAAAAAATGAGATCTTATTACAACATTGTGTTAAAGACACGATTGATTAATTTCTATACAATTTGAGATATTCATTATGTTACTAGTATCCGGTTTGTAAATACCAATGGTTTTTATTCGTCTCCCGATATTGTTCTCTTCAGTCAACCCTTTGTCATTTAGAGTGAAATCAAAAGCCATACAAAGTTAAGAAATCTGTAAGTGGGAATTACAATCGGCATCTTTTCTTTTAACGGTAGTTTATACGAAATGAAATACATAAAAAAAACTGAATGTAGTTATGAATTAGATGTAAATATTGTACTTTCAATTTTAAAACAAAGCAAAAATTAATTGAACAAAACCACAGAGAAAATAACATTGATTTTTCATTGAAATTCTGTCGGTTAAGATGGAGACGGACTAGGAATAGCAAAAAAGAAAATTTATATTTTTACGATTCAAAGAGCCAACTCAGCTTGCAGTTTACGGCTGCCGTTTTCCACTGTAGTAAACGTATGAAGAATAAATTCGAAACTGAAATAAGAGGAAGCTAAAATGTTCCTGATTTTCTACAGAATATACTACTACGCATGCTCTTTTAATTATGCTGTGTTAAGTATGAAGTAATTTGTATCTAATTTCAAGATACCATCCCGGACACAACTTTCGAGCCACCTTGAATTTTTACTTTGAAAGACCTAGAACATAAAAATATTGTCTTATCAAGGAAAAAGTTTTTATGCAGTTTTAATGCTGCCAGGTTCCCCCGTTATTATGGTGTGTCGTTGTTCCAAATTTGAATTTACGAATTTGAAACACGGAGAAAAGTTGTGATTCGTCATTGTTTTTAAAGAAATAAGGGAGCGTATGGTGCAAGTCAAAACGAAATAATTTCAATATTTTTTTATTTAATTGTTTTATTTAACAATAAAGGAGTATTACATTGTTTTTCCTCTAAATTTAACCAAATCTCTCGAAGGAATTATGAACACTGCGCCTGAAGTAGCCGCTCAAGCTGTGGCACTTTTGCAGTCTGGACTTAGTCAGCGTAATGTAACACAACTGCATTTCAGTCGTTCCGCTGTTGAAAGGTTATAACCATCGGTACTTAGAGACTGGCGGCTATGTTCGCCGTCAAGGAAGACCACGATTTCGAGTGACAACGGAAAGGCAAGATCGATTTATCTTCAGTCCTGCGTCCTGCCCTAAATGCAATATTTCAACCTTAATAAGTTTCTAAAATAAATAAAATTTATTATTATTATTAATAATTATTATCTTTTATTATGCGCACAACCTAGGCATGGAATTCCCTGGCTGCGACTACTTGCGCTTGCGGCTGTGTTTCGGAGCACATAGAACCTGAGTATCTTTAAGGTGCGACTGTACTCGTTCCAACGAAAACCCTATTTTTGCTCCAGGGCTATGCAGTGGCCAATGGCGAGTTCATTTACTTCAAAAAAATGCAGATTAAATAGTACTGGTAGAGGGAGCAATCATATTACATACAATGAAATTATTTGTTTTAAAATTCAGAGAAAAATAACCGGCACACTACAATGTCTTATTGAGATTCGCTCTGGACCTTTTGGAGGGAAAAGCGTCGTTTTTATTTTGACTTTCAATTATTTTGTGAATTCTAGTTTAAAGTGGAATAGGATAGTGCTATTGTGCCTTAATCGAAGATTAAAACGCGAAATTATACGAATTTGGAACTAAAATACCCGTATCGGCCCGTTTTAAGGAATCCCGAGTCAATCCAAGCACGCCGCCTCAAATTGCCTATCCTCTTTGTAGCGGCCATGTTTACAGAAACAAAATTAAACTTCATGTTTAGGCTTATGGCTTTGCCAAAGCCTTAATAAATTAAAAAAAATGTCTTATTGACACAAAAGATTTGTCAGTTCCGCGGATAACATGCATTAAGAAAAAGTTTCCAAGTAGGTACTTGGAAACTTTTTCTAACATATTAATAAAATAGATGTTCTGTGGTTTTATTTACATACCACCATGCCGAGGCCTGTAGTGTAGAGGCCAGGATGGCGCACGACGCAATCGCCGGATTTCAGCATGCACTTTATCTTGCCGCACGCAGCACACGCCGGCAGGCGCTGCACAGCCTGGCAGAAGTAGCAAAACGCGCGGCTCTTTTGCTTCCTATCCAACACATTTAGACATAGTTGTACGCCTCAAAATCACTTATTACCTTAAATCTCTTCACACAGAAAAATCACCATATAGCATGTAAAAAGACCCTTAATGAAAAAAACAATCATGTACTCTGCCCATCGTTACTATTATTTTCTAGTATGAGGGCCATGTCTGGGAATGATATTTAAGGAGATATTGAGGAACAAGGTGGAATTTTTTTCATGCCAAAGTTATATGGAGATCGCTTGGCTATCGCGCTCGATATAAACGTATATACTAGATCAAACTGAACGCTAAACACACTCACATCATATTCTCTAGTCACACTCATGCCATTCTGGTGCTAGCGTTATATTGCACGTCTAAAATAACAAATATCTAACTGTTTATTCCCAGTAGTTCTGTGTACTCAGTTCCACGTGGAACAATTGTATTGTAATCCCAAAGTTCGATACATTGAACCAGCCTTTTTAAATATCTAAACATAGACTTCAATGTCGGATCATAACCATGTAAGATTTAATGTGGAGACAGAAGGTGCCCGCCACACCCCACTACATTTAGGAATCCGAGGGATTCAGCCTTGAATGTCTATAGAGAAACACTAAATCTCTTAGCCTGGAGTTAGCTGTTGAAGAATCTCGTGGAGGAATGCCAAACTCAGAAAGCTAAGAGAAAAAACTCGAAAACTTCATATTGAAGAGTTCCAGAGTGGGCCGAGCAAACGAAGAAGTGGGAGACCTGTAAGAGGAAGGTCCAGTGGCCTAGCCTTAGCGAAAAGAAAGAAAAGGCTCAGACCATTTCAATTTATTAACAAGTAAAAAACGAAAAGGCTGTAACAAAATAATAAAATGATATAAAATGTGCCATTAGTATAAAACACTCCCTACTAGACAGTCCATAAAGAGTCCTGACACTTACCCCAAGACGGCCTATATATAGGTACATTCTAATGTTTAAAAACAGTAAATCACGAGAAGTCTGAGTTTTACATGATTTATGAGCACGTCCCCTTGCTTTGAGAATTTTGATGGGAATGATGGCGGAACGAACCAACGTAAGAATAGTGAAAGGAAAAAAGAATTCGCGAGCCATTGAAGATTTTAAAAGGAACCATTTAAAAAGTGGGATGACGATGAAAGAGGTTTGCAATCATCACAGCCCTAACCAACTAAATATAACAAGGAGATAAGGAAGGCCGAGCGAGCATTTGAAGGTGGATCTGTGAGGAAATTGCCGGTGCTCCTCAAAGTACACGTCTCCATAGAGTGCTTGCCAAAGCAAACTCTTATCAACTAGGGCTGTTAAAAAAGCCTATGGGACTTATCGACTTCTACGACAGGAACCCTTGAGCTTGAGAAACACCGGAGGATATCTGGCTAATCCTCAACTAGCTCTCCGGTCTGGTGCCAGAGATGGCGGTCGCAGAGTCTTGTGACAATGTCCGGACGTAACTTCCAACTCAAAGGGCAACTCACATGTCCCGCGCGTCTACTCCCCTTGGTCGTCGTGTAGGCTCTGAGGCGTCTTGGTACTCGGAACACTGCGCCCGGCCCGGATGGAATCCCGGCCAGGGCGTGAGTGTTGGCTCTCTATGCCGATTGGTGAACAGCATTATACAGTTGGCCTGTTCCCGTCCGGCCGGAAGTCGACGAGGATGGTCCTCATAAAGAAGGAATGTCGATTCGCAGATTCTCTCTCTGCGTACCGACCAATATGCCTGCTGGATGAGCCGGCAACCCATGAAGGGACAGGTGCAGGCGTGTGTGGTAAGGCACTTGCGCCCATGACACACACACGCCTCGCAGAAGTCACAGATGGCACCCTGTAAATGCATCGATGTTAATACCTTAAAAACACAACTCTTAGTGTTTTTATATACTGTAAATGTGCAAATGTGTATGTCCTGGTTTTCGGGAACCGTCCCTGTTACCGGCAGCCAGGACCTCCTTGATATGACATTGAGCGCAGACGTTAATATGGCGCTAATGTTAAGTACAAACAGCAGCCAAAAATTTGGGTATCCTTAATAACCTGAAGCGACAAATCTCGCTTGGACAGCTTTTAACTCCGTACAAAGAGCAAGTCCAATATTGCATGGAGTATTGCAGTCAGTCACCTTTCGGATGGCGTAGCGAAACATCAACTACAGATTCTCGGCTCGATGGAACGCAAAGCCAGGAGGCTTACTGACAACGATAAGGTCCGATCTAAAAGTTCATAGTTTAGCTCACTGGCGCAAACTTGCGTGTCTGTTGTTTTTTTTCAGAATAATATGCTTCGGTGAATGTGCCCTTCAGCACACTCCGTGCGCCCCCTTTTACCGTTGAACACCCAGACGTCCGACGGAATATCATCCCTACTTGGTCAATATCATCCCTACAGGCGTACTAAGCGACATCTAGCAATTTGCCCTCGCCTTCTCAGTCTTGTAGCTTGACTGCACACAAGTGCTGTAACGATCTAGTTTGTGACTGTCCCGCTATAGCTGAAACTAAAACCCTAAAATATCTTGGCGTAATTATAAACCTTTCTCCAACCTCACATAGAGATGCTAACTTCAAGATTAAGGAAGTTAATATACACTTTTAAAAATGTCAGACATGTTGCAGGTGCTAGATTAATTAAACAGTTATATCTAGCACTTGTTCAGTTAATATTGGGATATTGTATTACTGTCAGGGGTGGTCTTCAAAAACTATTATGAAGCCCCTAGAAATAGAACAACGAGCAATTCTCAAGGTCAGCACTTTTCGATCATATTTATTCCCCACACACGTATTATATCAGACATGTAAAGTCTTGTCGATGCGTAAGCTGTTTATATTGCTCACAATCATTAGGCAAAAATCTAATTTAAAAACTAACAAACATCTCAAAAAATTCAGGCGACGTAACGCTATGCGCTATACCGTACAATGACATACCAAAATTTAAACATAAATATGTAAATAAATATTGTTGCTTTTTGGGTCCACATCTATTTAATAAAATTAATCAAACAATCGATATACATTTAATAAACAAAAGAGAATGTAAACATAGAATTGCAATGTCGATTCGCAGATCCTCCCTCTGCGTACCGACCAATATGCCTGCTGGATGCAATCTGTTCGAAAGAACACTTGCCGAGCGGCTCAACGGGCTTCTGTCGCGAGTAGGGCCCGACCTATCGGAAGACCAGTTCGCCTTCCAACAGGCACGGTCGACAGTGGTTGCGACGCGACACACGCTGTCGAAGCAGGTACTATCTCGGGGCGGAATGGCCTTGGCGATAAGCCTGGATATCGTCAACGCCTTCAACTCCTTGCTCTGGTGGACCGTTAAGGAGGCGCACAAGTATCACCAAGTGCCTCCGTACCTGAAGCGAGTTGTCGGGTCCTACCTAAGCGACAGGTACATTACCCGGGTCGGGATGGCGCAAGTCTCCGCAGTGAGATCATGTATGGGGTTCCGCAGGGGTCCGTCTTAGGATCACTCCTTTGCAACCTCGCATACGATGCAGTCTTGAGGTTCGAACTGCCCCCGGACGTGCATCTGGTGTGTTGCACTTTGAAGGACTTCGAGAGGACCATCCGCCTCGCAGAGCTCGGGATATTTCGCGTCGTCGAAAAAATCGAGGAGCTGGGTCTGTGGGTAGTGCCTCAAAAAACTGAGGCGCTGTGGTGCCATAAGCTCCCACGAGGGAGGTAACCACCCAGTTTCTCGATTTGCAACGTCCAGGTAGGGCAGTACTTAAAGTACTTGCGCCTCATACTAACAGCCGCTGGGACTTCGAGGAGCACTTCCGGCGTCTGGTTTCCTGGATCGATAGGGTGGCGAGTGCATTGCACCGGTTGCTGCCCAATCTGAGGGGCCCATCCGAGGGAGTTCGCTGCTTATACGGTGGCGTGGTGCGTTCCGTGGCCGCCAGGCGGAGGTAGCTGCGAAGCTGGCAATGTGGTGACGGGCGTTCGAGAAGTGGCGCAAATGGCCGGAGCAGCCATGGATCACGCGTCAGCGCGCCGTCGGTGCGATCCTGCCCATCCTCGAAGTCTGGTGAGCACCAGCGGAAGTCTTCAACACGTTCCGGCTGTGCTACCCATGTCCCATGAGACAGGGAGAGGGTCGATCTCGCTCGGCGGCGGCGTACTTTCGCCAGTACGTTTGGCAGCTGCGAGGGGACGACGGGGCGTTGTGACCCGCTTCGCCGTGACGAGGGGAGAGGGAGGACGTAGCTCCTCCTAGGTGCTGGGGGGGGGGGGGGGTGAGCAAAGTCGATCCCGGATCCCTCCCGCTAGAGCACCCGAGAAGGCCACCGTGGGGTTTTAGCCGGTAGAAGTCGCCGAAGTTAGGAGCAGTAGAACTGCTTGTGAAAGAGTTCATCCAGGGAAGTACTGCCACCTTACCTATTTCTGCCGCCAAGCAATAATAGGATCATTACTGTGTTCCGGTTTTGAAGGGTAAGGGTGCTTGTGAAATTACAGGCACACGGGACTTTTCAACTTATATGTGGTGATGGGCGTAGAGGCACTGCTCCTCAGATCTTTGCGATTTAAAGCTCTGCGTGGCACTACAACTGTTATGGACAGGCGTGTCGTTTACCATCAGGCGCACGACTTGTTCGTCCCATCACTTAGTATCATAAAAAAGTTCTTAAAATAACCTCTCCTCCGTCGCCACCGCGGCGGAGAGGTATCCTAGGAGGATTTCCATACGAAAAAAAACGCCCTCGTGTAGAGGCGCCAGCTGTTCGCGGGATGAACGCCTCGACCATGTGGCCGGCTACCGGGGTAGACGAACGTGTTCATCCCTGCAGCTGACCACAAACCCCGGCGCAAATGCCTACACAAGCCGGGCCCGGACGCCCGCCGTACTCTGGTCTTTCCGGGGAGCCCGTAGTCTCCCTGGATCTCCCTATCTCTCGTGTCAGTAGATAGGGACAACACAGGTGAGGATAGTATTATTCGCATCTATACAGTATTACCCAGGTAAGGGCAGCTCCACATCCGAGAGACATATTATGCCTCTATAGTTTGAAGTGCCAAAGTCAACCAAATAACCACTATTGCCACATTGGCCAGTCTACAACGTATCGTGTGCATGCTAGCAACAGGAGCAACGTCCACTACAGCTAGGGTGGCCCTAGTGCATGGCTTAATCTGACTACCTTGCATAATATTCATACAGCAGGAGGCTGGTACCAGCATGCACAGACTTAAGACCTGGTTAAGGTCTATACGGCTCTTCCAGATATTGAGATCACCCCAAGACTCAATTCTGGAACACTGTACTGGGAATGACTTCTGATGTCATGCTTCCCAAGCAAGCAAAACTATTAGAAAGTCTACCAAGTACAATTTCCAACCAAGTTGAAATGTCCAAATAGGAAGACTGGGAAACTAACAGTCTCACCTGGAAGAATGGTAGCCTTCTTTGGTATAATGATGGGTCAAAGATGGGACCCAACGTGGGCTGTGGTACACACGGCGTGCGACAGACTCAGCGATCTGAACATGGGACAACACTCCTCCATCTTTCAGGCCGAAATGTACGCCATAATTGCTTGTGTGTCTTTGAACCTAATGAGAGACAACATTAACAAGTACATTTATATAAACTCAGATAGTCAAGCCACTCTACATGCGCTAACCTTAGTCCCCCATACATCGAGGATAGTAGAGACCTGTGTAACCATACTGAACTCTCACAATAAGAAAGGAATAATGTGGTCATACGCTGGGTTCCAAGCCACTCTGACAACATCGTGGGTAATGGGGCAGTGGAGGAACTGGCAAAGGCTGGTGTTAGGAAGGCCTTTATTAGTACCCAGCCCTAATAGGGACAGCATACAGACTGGCAAAGCTCATTCTGCTGAATGAGGGCACATAAGTCTCCCGAGAAGTGTGACTACTAGTGTCTTGAGCATTCAAAAGTCCTGATAGCTGCCTATAGTGCTAAACACTGTACAGAAGCTTTGTCACTGAGCTTTAACAAAGCAATGTGGCTTGAATTTGGAGAGAAAAGAGAGAGTATAGATTCTGCCACAATGCGGATGAAACTTGCCTCTTGATGGGGATACAAAGTACTATACTGGGAAGACACTGGCCACAACCAGAGGACATAAAAACTGTCAGGAGTCAGGAAAATCCATCAGGTTTTAAATATGTTGAGGAGCTGCATAGGCCTTGAATGAAGCCATCCTAATAATAAGAATAATAATAGCTGAAAAGTTGCCAGTAATTATTTTTGGTTAATGTGTCTTAAATTTGTCGCAAAATAAGAGGCACCTTTTACCCTAAGTCAACAGGGATATGAACTAAATATATCAGTAACCATATTAAAATGATTCTCAAGAGAAATCAATTCAAAATTTTATGAGCCTGTGCTTGTTTAGATTATTTTGCAGGTCATTGGTTTTCAATTAACATTTAATTATATATATTAATAAAACACTGACCATTTAATTAAGCAATTAGAGTTTAATATAAATAATAATGAAGTATTTTATATTATCACAATGACAACCTGTAGCTGTTGATGTAGTGTAGTTACATTAACAGAGTTCACAAGGATAACTTGTCATTAAATAGTGAAATTCTGAAGCAAATAAAAAAAAATATAATTATTTTTATTTATTCACTTTCATCGGAATATGAGGCAAAATCATCATTTGACCTAGTATCACCTATATGTATAATATTTCAGTTTCAATCATATTATCAATGTTAATGTCTCTGTCAAAAACCACAAAGCCAATATTATTTTAAGTGAAATTGAATTGGCTCGGCGAAAATCAGCTATTAATTGGTTATAACAGTAATATTTAAAAAGAAAAAATAGATTGAGGATGTAAATGTTTTTAAGACATTTCAGACTAACTCAAAATTGCATTTCATTTTAGAATTTGTGCAAAAAGAATACTTGAAATATGTTCCATCATCTCATCTTTCATATTATATAATGCTTCACTAAAATTAATATATTTTTTAAAACTCAATTAGGTTAATAATTGCTTGTTTATTGTTACGTTGATTGCATTCAAAGTTACATACTATAATCTTCCTTAGTTGTCAAATTGGGCCTCTTACTTAGTGATGACAATAGTTTGGTGTACATTATGCATAGCCGAAACATAGCTTGATTAGAGATCTTTTTATACTCTATATACAAAGACTGAATATATAATAACTGAATACTAAATATATAATAAATTTGTTTCTATGAGAATATCTTACATACGTTTGTATTATGTATAAGAATAATCAGGTAAGCATTTGATACAACAGAATGTTTTGTAATCATCCTATTTAAGTCAGGCCCTTGTTAGTGTCCTCTCCTCCACTTATCATTGTCTGTAATCGTTCACTGTACGCTATTCTTGGCTTTTCCTCTCTTATCTTTTCCCTCTACCTTCGTCAATTATAACTTTAAAAAATTCAATAAAATAATAATTCGAGTTTAGTATGAACGAAATTTAATTAATGAATAGTGTTACTTTTGGCACTTGTCGCACTCCATAGGCAGGTTGCACGGATGCTGTGCGAGGTCTACATTATCGCGAGACGCGCGGATCTCCTTCTGCCTTATTTTCTGTTTCTCGGCCTTCTTGCGTTGACCTGTCTTCTTCTTCGGCATTTTCACTCCAGTTCACTAACTGCACACGTCTCACAATACAAATAAAACATGAAAGTAAAAACGAAACATGCAAAAAATCAGCTGATTGTTTCTTTCTTACGTTTGACAAATTTGATGGCAATTTTCGTTCGGGAAAGTGTCCCCCAATTAAAGCGAGGAGTTTCGGTGTTTCATTGTTCATCTATTTACTGAGAAAAGACAAAATAAATACATTAAGGTATTTTCATCAGAGTTAATTAAAATAAAGCATAACGTTATAGGTGTAGTAATAAATCAAATGTTTAGTTAATTAAATGAACATGAAATATATTAAACCATAGAATCAATAACGTACTATTTCAGAACGAAATGTAGAATACTTCCAAAAATAAAAGTTAAATAAATTTCTGTGACGATGAGAAGTCACATTCGTTTTTGATTCGTCAGTGTTATTATCAATGCGCACTTGCTCGTTTATCGCTAATCAACAAAACAAACTATAAACAAGCGTTTTTTTCAATCTCGGCTGAAGTTGTTTCGCGGAGACTCGTGTAATTGAGCCGAGGCGTGTGACGGGTGTCGTGCACAATTTAGCAGTTTGCGACTTCACGTCGAAGCGAGGAGCGGAGGCCGCGGAGCTTCTTCCGGTCGTGTAATAATCAACATGATATCTCCAACAGAAGTGGTAAATATTAACTTTCTTTCTATTGCGTTCATTTTTAAATATTCTATTATCAATCGAGTCTTAAGCAGTGAATATTCCTTAGGTACTAAACATATTATAGTAGTAAGCCTGTGGAATAGTTTTAGCTACACGATTGAAATTACACATCATACTTACATAGTTAACTAACGGTATCAACATTTTTTTGCGCACTCTTAGAAGTATACGGGAGTAAACATATTTAATTCTATAAATTTGTGCAGGTGTTGATTATGAATAATGTTCTTTGAATATTAACACGAAAAACACCTACCTTTTGAATTCACCGTAGTCAGGTAAAACGGTATGTACCAGAATTTCCACACACATATAATAATTTTAACACAAATTTCCAAATACATATTTTTTTTATTTGTGTCACCACACAATCCCAGTTGCGTTTTTCACTTTTTAAGTCTGAATTGACCTTTAACGCATTAAAAAAACAACAACAGTAAAAAAAAATCCTTTAAGTTGGTAGCATTTATTGCCTGTTTCTCGTTAGTAGATGGCGTGAATGTCATTTAGTTCCCATAGCCAAAAAATTAACACAACCATACTTTATGGCCCCACAATTAAATTCTACATCAACTGATACCCACGAAAATAGTTCTTTTAAAAATGGCGGGTTTTTACACAAATTTTTAGTTCCAAGTTTTATTACGTGTTTAGTTTCTTAATTATTTGCTTAATAAATAAGTAATAAGTTGATACCCACCAATGATTTATATAAGTAACAAACAAGTACGTATGTACATACCTATCTACACATTTTTATTAAAAAATGCGTTTATTTCCGTGATTTGAGGCGCTCATAGCCAATTATTAAAACTATTCCAAAAATATGAAGCTTATTGTTAGATGTGTTGTATACAACCTTGGTTGCTTCAGCATAGAACGTAAAAATATTGACAAATACAGAATATTAATAAATTAATTCAAACATATTGAAAGATTCTTTCATTTATGCAAGTTGGTCTACATGTACCTACTTTACATAATCTACCCCTTGAAATAACATAAAATGATTTCATATCATCATCTCAAGAAGTGTATAGTAGGTCTTTGTGTGTATTGTAAACACCGTTTTGATATCTTCTATTAAATTAATTATGTAGCAAGTGGGTATACTTACGTAATCTTTTTAAGTTGTGGTTAATGGATATAAGTGACATCTATAACAATTTTGATGGACCTCGCGTTATTGTTAATATTAGTCACACAAGTTATATGATTATTACAGAATGTATCATATTCATTTATCTGCATTTCACATGTATTGTTCTTGGAGTAAGTAATTCCTTTATATATTCGAGTACATAGGTACATTGGCCTTTGTATGTAGATAGGCACTCTTGTTTATCCGTAATAAATGATCTACAAACGGCGCGATTTTTGAAAGGAAGAAAACGCCTCGAAATTGCATAATTTAGGTTTCAATAAATAATTATAGTCTGTGTTTTATTTGAATTAAGTAGTTATAATGATTTCTCCAGGTAAATATAATAATACCATTATTATATTTACCCATATACAAAGACGAAGCAATAAAGCCGCGACCACAGGACCATTAAAGATCCCGAAACGTCGGGTTTGCCTGAAACCAAATATAAACACAAATATACGCGATTTAGATTTAAAAAAAAATTTCATTTCCAATGAGTAACACTCGCGAAAACAAAGAACTCGATACGACGTAATAATATCGCAATTGCTACAGCTCTCGCAATACAGGTATTTGATCAGATACTATCATACATTAAGTTGTATATTCATAATTTGCTTTGTTCTTTCGTTTCGTTGTTGTTCGTATTTTCAAGGGCAAAGATGCGTCGACCTCGGGTACATCAGTCTCGTTTGTCATATCTCCGATTGCGTCAATTTAATGTAGAAGTCGCGCCGCCTTCGACGCGACACTTCGCAAGTTGTTCGTCAGCTACCCTCAGTCGACCTTGGATTAATCGTAAACTGCGTGTCGTTCGCTCCGTAGGTATAGCACTCCGTTATCTTATACACGCGTAGTAGAGATTGAAACGAGTCCGGATCCCATGTCGCCATTCGCGCAGGCCGGGCGAGATTAAGCTTTCTCGTGGAACGGTGTTCAGTGTTATCGCGGCCGTGCAGGTGAAGCGCGTGGGCGTGGGCGGGCGGCTGGTGGCGTTCTTCAAGGCGGTGTGCGTGTACTTCGCGCTGGCGCCGGCCGCGCCGCCGTCCGCCGCGGCCGTGGCCGCCAAGGTGGCGCCGGTGCTGTGCCTGCTGCTGCTGGTGCTGCTGCCGCGCGCGCACCCCCGCGCCCCGACGCCCGCGCAGTGAGTACCGCCGCCCGCCCAGCGGGTACCGCCGCCGCCGCCCGCGGGCGAGCGCTGACCGCCCTCGTCCGTGCAGGGCGCGGTACGCGCGGCTGGTGGGCGCGGGGCTGGCGCTGTCGGCGCTGGGCGACGCGCTGCTGGTGTGGCCGCAGCACTTCGTGCCGGGCATGGCGGCGTTCGCGGCCGCGCACCTCGCCTACATCTCCGCCTTCGGCTGGGGCGCCAGCTGGCCGCTGGCCGGCGCCGCGTGCTACGCCGTCACCGGCTACTTCCTGACGCTGCTGGCGCCGCCGGCGGGGCTGCGCCTGCTGGTGCCGCTGTACGGCGCGCTGCTGGCCACCATGGCGTGGCGCGCGCTGGCGCAGGCCCGCGCCCGCCCGCGCCGCGCCCGCGCCGCCGCCGCTGCGGGCGCGCTGCTGTTCCTGCTGTCGGACGCGCTGCTGGGCTACAGCCTGTTCGGCGGCGCCGTGCCCTACCGCCGGGTGGCGGTCATGTCCACCTACTACGTGGGCCAGCTGGGCATCGCGCTGAGCGCGCTGGACCCGCCCGCGCTGCTGGCGGCGCCGTCTTCCTGAGCGGCTCGGCGGGTGGCCGCGACGCGACTGCCGGCGCCAAGACTGAATTTCTAGGGCGCGTTTAGCCTTCCGCCGCGGCGCCGCCCGTCCGGGACGGGCCTCGCCGCACTCCATTTTATGAATCTTTTGTAGGACTATTTACTGCCGCGGGCGGACCGGCGCCGAAGGGCGCCGCCCTGCACAAATGGCGTTCCCCTTCCACTCGGCGAGAGTAGCCGTTACTTTTTGGAATTGGATATAAAATATTATTCTTGTGCAAAATCGTGTTTTGTAAACGTTAAATACTATTGTATTTTATTGTATCGCTCCCGTAGAATATTTTTGATATTGTACGTGTAAAATGTGAATACAGAATGGTATCGGACGCCGTGTTTCATTGGTCGCGTGTCTCGCGTCTCTCGCGCCTCGCGACTCGGGGATGAGGGACGGGGCGGGGGTCGGGCACTCGAAACACGTGGTAGTAACAAAATATTTATTAAACTGTACGTACTTACATAAACTTAACTACAAAGACGGAGGAGCCGCTACTCGCGGCGCAGGTTGTCGAGGCGCGCCTGCAGCTCGGCGTCGGCGTCGGCGGCGGCCGCCGCGCCCGCGCCGCCCGACCCGCCCGCCACCGCCACCGCCGGCGCGCGCGCTGCAACGGACGGCCGCTACACTCCGCCGCCCCGCGACCGCGTCTCCGGCCGCGGGCCGGCGCGAGCCACTCACCGGGCACGGACAGCGAGCCGGTGGCCTGCGGCAGGCCCGACAGCTGGTCGTTCAGCTGCAGCCCCAGCTCGTCGAAGATCTGCGACACCACCGCGTCGCTGCAACATGCGCACAACTTTGATCAGAAACTAGTGCCCCCCGCTACGAACGCGAGTATACCGGTTACTGCCGTTCGACGTTCACTATGCGAGTAGTATACTATTAAAACGCAAGGGAAAATAAATAGTTGCGAGAGTTCTGCAACAAATGTCCATGAATAACTACAATCTTGAAACACTAGATTCTTACGGAAGGTGACCCTAGCTAGAGCGTGTACGAAATTGTCCGTGCAAAAAACGACTGTGTATCTGTCGTCGGCAAGGCAACTGTAACCTATGAAAATGAATGATTCAGCTACAGAGCTGTCAGTTCCGCTAAGAGTGAATCATTCGAATTCATCAGCCTCAGCAAAATTTCGACATTCTTGTCTTTTAGTTTATAAAAAAAAGTATTTGATTCTTGCCGTAAAATTAATATTTAATAGCAAATTATAATTCCGTTGCTAACTAATGCCTACATAAAATATTGATTATTCTATTTAAATAAAAATAATATAAAAATGTCCCCAAAATCATTCCCTCACTACGCCCCAACTTCCATAATCAAACACGTTCTGTGCTTTAAATCAACACATTTAATAAAAATAACCTTTTAATTTTAAACATTTGATCAAATAAAATATGTTTTTTGCGAAATTAAAGCTATCCTGTGGTAAAAACACGATAAATAAATTTTAAAAATGTACCTAATTCATATCCCAACCAAAAAATCATTGCCTCACACTTTTACTTTCACTCGTTTTGTGAACGCATTTTCAATCTTTGGGAAATGCTTTCAAAAGTTTTCGAAAGTTAGCAGCATTGTAAATGATTCAAAATGACGAAATTCAACTTGAGTATGTAAAAAATGTCTACTACGAAAAGATTTAATTTAAAATTCTAAAAGTTACATTTTTGATACTCATTCTTTTGAAATCGTACTTACAAAATAAAATAATAAATTAAAATTGAAATTAAAGATAATGGGCGCCACTCAGCATATGCCGTGTTTAGGAACAGCCACGGCGCAGTGTTGGGCGTTAATCAATTAAATTTCAATCAATAATTCAATCAGATTAAAAAATCAATTCAATTGAAATCAATTAAATTTGCAATTACAATCAATTCCGGCCGGTTGGGGGCCCCGGTTGGGAAGCCCGCTTGGCGGCCCCGGTTGGGAACCCCGGTTGGGGGCCCGGTTGGGGCCCCGGTTGGGGACCCGGTTGGGGACCCGGTTGGGGGCCCGGTTTGGGGGGCCCGGTTGACAATTGATTAATTGTTAATTGCGGTTCTCGCAACTAACAATTGATCAATCGTTAATTGCTGTTTCGCAATTGACAATTAATCAATTGTCAATCTTTAATTGCCAGAACAATTAAATTTTGCCCAACACTGCCACGGCGCTGGTATTATGTGAAGCAGGTATTATTATGAACTTCTTTACAGCAGTTCGATCATTCCATTATTTAGTAGCAGTAGAGCTCTTTGTGAAAGAGTTTGTCCAAATAAGTACTGCCATCTTATATATTTCTGCCGCCAAGCAGTAATGTGAGCGTTATTGCTATCCGGTTTTGAAGGGTTAAGGGTGCTGGTGAAATGACAGGCACACGGGACTTATCAACTTGTGTCTCAGGGTGACGAGCGCAGTAGCAGAGCTCCTAAGATCTTTGCGATTTAAAGCTCTGAGTGGCACTGCAATTGTTATGAAGTTATGGACATGCGTGTAGCGTGTAGCTTACCATCAGGAGCTCGACTTGTTCGTCCCGCCACTTGATATTTTAAAGAAAAACATAAATTCGCAATAACTATTCATTTAATATTTCAATTATTATAATAAAATGTGTTGGCTATTTACTTATGTAAGATGTGGTCTGACTTAGAAAAGAACTTGTAACACTTTACAAGCACTTATCATATAAGGTTTATCGCTATGGACCTTATGTCCTTTCAAAACTCTGCGTTGAGAGCAAGCCCCTGACGATGAAAAAAAAATTAAACCGCCAAAATACTAAGTTAGACTGAACAAAAATGTTTCATTTAGATTTTGTGAAAATACTGTACTAGTTTGTTATTACTAGGGCCCGGATTAATATGTTATTATATATTTTTAACCGAGTTTAAAAAAAGGATTTCTCAATTGGAAAGAGTTCTCAATTCTACTGTTTTTTTTTGTATGTACCTGTATGTACGTTACGCGATAACTCCGGTATTTGTGAACCGATTTTCATAATTCTTTTTTTGTTGGAAAGAGGGTACCTCCATAGTGGTCCCATTTAATTTTGAAGAAAATCATCCATATCTAAGGGTGGCTGTTCACGCATTCATTCTTTTTTCAACAAGGTTCATTTTTATAAATAGCGCCTAAATTTTTTGTAAGGAGGAATTATTTTAATGGTTGACTTTGCTATTCTCCAATTCAAGGCATTTTTCTCTTAATATACTTTGAATAGTGAGAACCGCTTTTTTTAATTTTTATTTGCGGTTTCGCGCGTAATAGATAAGCAGAACTTAAGTTCAACACTTAGTTACGTATTTCTCAAAATAAAACAATGTCGGAAGTAAAAAAGAAGAGACGGCAATACTGTGCGGAATATATTAAATTCGGATTCATTGAAAATCCCCCAAACCCATCGTCAAGACATGAGACAAGACAAGAGAATGTAGCATATTAAGACCTACAGAAGAAGCATAATACTCAGCCAAGTGTAGCAAAACTGTTTTCGGCGGCTGCTAAGCAAGATGACGACGGACTTCGAGCTTCGTATAATATCTCTTTGTTAATTGCTCAATAAGGCAAACCACACGACATCGGAGAAGAGTTAATTTTGCCAGCAATAAAGCAAGTCATAACTACTATGCATCATAAACCGGCCGCAAATATTATCCGATAAATCCCTTTGAGTAATAATTCTGTGCGAATTGATGAAATGGCTGAAAACATCGAAGACTCATTGTGCAATCATCTGAGGACTAGTCAATTCAGCTCGATGAGTCCACTTTACTAGCTAATGAAGCATTGTTGCTGTCATACGTGAGGTTTATTAAAGATGAGAAAATATGTGAAGAACTATTGTTTGCTAGAAATTTAGAGACCGATACAAAAAGCGAAACCATATTCAATACATTGGAAAAGTTTTGTGATGAGAATGAGTTTACCTGGAAAAATATTATATCAGTTGCTACGGATGGCGCTCCGGCTATGACAGGGTGCCCTATACGGTGTACGCTATAAAGGCTTCATAGCGTACTTAAAAAATAAAATTCCAGATGTCCTTGCTGGACATTGCGTTATTAATAGACAACATTTGGTTGCTAGAAATTTAAGTGAACGACTATTTCAATCACTGCAATATATGCAAAGCAGTCAATAAAAACTGGAACAGCTCTTTGAATAATAGATTATTTCATCAGCTTTGTGTTACTGATGATGAATATTTCTACCATTTGTAGTTTCATACTGAAGTTTGTTCCCTATCAAGAGGCAATGAGGCTGTTTGACTCTGTCAAATCAAAGAATGATATAGCTTACATGACAGATCTGTATAAATTGTTCAACATCATGAATTTTATATTAGATTTTTTGTTCAGAATAATTTGAATGTATGTTATGTTACAGTACCCTACTAGAATTGATGTCTAGGTACTGAATTTTTTAAAATGTAGGTACACCATGTCAACTACATAATTGCAATAAATAAATGAGTAATTAATTATTATGAATTATAAAAAAAAATGTTTTATATAATGCCACCAGCAGCCATATTTATTTTTTTGTATGACATGCTACTACAGGGACCGAGACGAATCCAACGGTATTTCGTGCTAAAGAAAGCTACGCTGGTACTTAAAAACATACCTATACGAACACCCGAAATATGTTACTCTGATTCTGAGACAGTTGATATATCTTATGAATTTGGACAATGGGTTCCCATTTTTCGGGAATATCCATGCACTTTGATAGTTTATGGCAGATCAGATGCCTACTGTGGCGAGTGGCACCGAGCAGCTGCACTCACCTTTCCTCCTCGTCGTCGTCGCCCTCCATAGCCTCGTCGATGGAATCGTTCATCATTTCCTCTTTCATGTCCATGATCTCAGATTGCTTCTCGAACTCTTGGAGGATCTTTTGAATCTGCGGCATGTTCAGTTGTCGGTTCATTGTGGCCATGGCGCGCGTCACGCCCCGCATCGCCTGCGCCATAGTGCTTTGCGATTTCAGCGTTTGTATTTTAAGTGACACAGCCTGGATATTTGCTTTCATTAACATGAATTTGCGCACATAACGGCGCGTGCGTACCAGGTCCTTAGCCATTATCTTGACTGCGTCCTATTGAACAAAATGTCGTGAGAAATCAAAGTCATAGACACATATCATTAAAACTTCTACTTTAAAAAGTTTAACATATAAACATCGCACAAAAATATAAACATCACCGAATTATTATTAAATTATAAGATTTTTTAGATTATTTGGAATCAACATGCAGTGACAAAGAGAAAAATGTACTTTTGTTCCAACAATATTCGTATTTGTTTAGAATAGAATAACAGGCTGCTCAAGTCCACCATTAGACCTATGTTGGACATATGAGCCTGACTGTCCCAAGCTGAAAATGCTACAATAAATTTGGTTACTGCAACTATTAATGTGGACTACTTCGTGCTTTTGATTTGTGTACATCCAATACATGGCAAACTAACTGTAAAGTGTAACTTCATTGAGGTCATTAGATCCTGACGCTTATTTCCAGTCGTCGTAAAAAATCCCAGTATTTTATTCCGTTTCTCACCACCTGGTAACATATGGAATTTTTTTTCCATTTGTCGCCAGTAGAAATCACCACTGGCAACAACTGGGATTTTTTTATTCCGTTTGTCACCACCTGGGAACATATGGGATTTTTTTTTCCCATTTGTTGCCAGTGGGAACAAAGCCAGTGGTGACAACTGGGAATAAGCCGATCCTGATACTTTGAAATCTTTACACTGATATAAATCTATGGATATCACAGTATATTTAGCAGCTTTTCAAGAATGGTGGCTCAAACCAAAACAGGTCATTTGACTTTGTAACACAGCTGCATTTACAATGTGTTAAGTTTTACTTTAAAAGAGAAACACTGAACTTTTTATTGATTGAAATAAACAGATGACATAGACCAGCATATGATTTGTCAATTTTGCAGGTAAAATATATTTCAGTTGTTTTTAAACTATATTTCTTACGAATTATGTTGATTTTGATATACACCGCCATTCGAGACAGCCAGCGGTTTATGAAAAAGAATAGATAATTCATAAAAAAGTATTACTATGTGGTGCAAAAATAAATTAAGTGTTCTCAACAACTATCTTTCCAAAGGCACAAATTCATTTAAGGACTAATATATACCTTTACAATAGAGAATCAACAACTTTACATCTTATATGGGTCATAAAAATCCATGAGAGTGATCTATTTGGCTCTTTGAGGTAGCTTATCTATTGTAATATTGTGAATGCAGTGAGGGAACAAATATCTGTTTCGTACCCATTCTTCTTTAGGGAATTTGCATTACGAATAAGTAGTGTTTAATAATAGGAAATGAAACTATTTTTCCGGATTTAATTCGCGTATATTTGTTTTTTCAAACAAAAAAAAGGTTTGTTTGAAAAAACAAATGTATGCGATTTAAATCCGGAAAAATAGTTTCATTTCCTATGTGTAACAATCGCGAAAACCTACTTAAACTTGATAGTGTTTAATGAATTTGACTAATTCAATTGTAATTTCATATATATGAAATAAAGATATTTTGTATTTAAATTTGGATAAAAATCAATGTCACAGTGTACAGGTTAATTGGGTACCTATTGTACAGGCAGTACCAGGGTTGTTGCGAATGTCAGCAACCACATTCATGGACAATCTGCATTTATTTATGCTGATATTCAGTGCAGATGTTTGAGTCATAACAAGGCTCAAACATCGAAAGGTAAGCTGGAATAATTTAGAAACCTTCCAGAAACAGACTGCAAGCCGAAAAAGCACCTCAGCTGTTGTGTTTAAAATATAACTTTGATAAAATTCCACTACAATTAAGCTAGGCACATGGATTGCTTTTATGCAGATTGATTCTTTTATCAATTTATGTCATATAATCATTGAAACAATATCAAGGTAAAAAAAATCAGCATTTGTTGATGTGTACAAAACCTGCATCAACCCTGGTAAGTACCAAAGATTAAATGTGAAATACACTAACCATCTGTCCCTCCTTGGCGAGTTTTTTGATATCAGCGATGACCTTCTTCTCCTGCTGCTCCATCTTGAGACGCTCACGGTCGAGGTCACGCATGGCCTTGTTCAGTGCGCGCTGGTTCTTACGCAGCATCTCATCAGGCGTCATACGGTGACCAAATAGCCACTCCATCTTGCTGTGTTGTCACGCCTGTAATAATTTCTATTTCTTACTGTCCCTCTGCCTCTCCCACCAACGTGCAGCAACTTTAATTATCATTACCATTCAAATTGTACCGCGCATTGGGTGAATCTTCATTAATAAAAACTAATTTGGCAGAAACCAACCACCTCCAATGAGGCTACTGCCTAAGTTCGGTTACCTGAACGATGAGGATGTTGTAGCTAAACTGCTTTCGAATAAAACTATTTGCAGTGATGATTCACCAGGCGAACACTTGATCAATTGTCCATAATATTTTAACTTTAAGACAAGTCCCGCTGTCCAAATTGATGAGCTAACTAATAAATAGAATTAATTTGAAAAATTCTCTTAAACAATTAAAGCAAAAACATCAATTTTTAACAAGTATTATCTATTTGTTTACACATCTAGGACGTAAATTTGTAAAAAATTACAATGCATCAAAGTTTGTCTTCTTGAAGATGGAGTAAAATGACATTTGGAGGGTTGCCAGTTTTCGTAAAATTTTAAATAGTCATGTAGTTTCATTTGCATACCCATAACCTTAGCCCATAACAGTGGTCGTAGCATGGCTGAATGTGAGTGACAAACCTCCCCGTGACAATATTTAATTCAGTTGATTCTTATTCAGAATCGTACCCATTTCCATGTACCTCTTCCGACTTCCATCCATCTTTTATTGTTGTTCAATACAATAACTCTTCTATATACCTATTTATCTAAATTTATATTAAAAAAAAATATATTTTTTTATATTATTTAAAAATTTAACTGCTGTAATAATAATATAATATTTATACCATTTGTTTATTTGCATCTCATAATTCCTCGCCTCCTTTTGTCATTTTTTCTCCAACTTTCAAATACAACTATATAAAGTTGTCTGTATATAAGTGAGCTGCCTTTGCTATTTAATCAACGCCGCGAAAACGATGAAATAAAAAAATACAAAGGTATATTTGCTTATTTGGTAATGAACTATTGATAAACATTTTGAAGAACAAGGACAACTATATGAAATTGCGTATATAGGTATCTTTATCGGTTAATCATCGCCGCGAAAACAAAAAACGACAAAGCTAAATTGCGTATGAAATTATGATGAAATTGCGTATATAGCTATCTTTGTCGTTTAGTCATTGCCCTGAAAACCATGAAACAAAAAATGTCGTTCCATTTCGTTTGTCGCGCTCAGTTTCTATGTTGATAAAATTACTGTGCAAATGTTTTAAAATCAGCTGTGACCTTGCAGCGATGTTTGGCATGATAATGACACAAAATATGTGACGTCACGGGGCTCGCCATGCTGGCCATTGTGAGAAAATTTTAAAATGCCGGTTTATTACTCGAATTTGACAGCTAAATATGGATATAATTGCTTTATCGAGGCGGCCTGTAGAGCAGATGCGTCGATGGTTTGATGCATGTTTGATGGTTGTTGATAAAAAATATCAATTACGATCAACATTATTGATGTATTTTCTTGCAAGTGGTGGGAAGCACGTGGCATACGTTTATGTGAAAGGCACACAATACAATGTTTTAGGTATTTCCTTACAAAGGCACGCAAGCCGGGGAACCAAAAAGGACGTAGAATAAGTTCCACTGTTTTATCTTGCCCAATGTGGTCCTGATCATCATGAAATACATGAAGCAAACTTAGCCTATATCCTTTAGGAATAAGGCACAAATGACGTGTATCTTGACCCGTAGATGAATATTTCACGTATAACAAGCCGTTCTTGACAACGTAACGAGAGGAGTCTAGTTTACCGTTATTTAAACTGTCGATGAGATTATGAGTCTCCTCATCTGCAGACTGAGTTAACTGACCCCAATTTTTAGGATTTTGAATGTGGCATACCTCAATCGGATTTCTACTAAGGTAGTATGTGTGGGACATTAAAGAGCCTTTCCTGTACTCGAAACTGTATTGAAAGTCCTGCATGTAAGGCCATCATCTAGCCACGCAAGGAAGTAAATCTTTTTTACGCTCGGTGAGTTTTAAAGTTGCAGTCAGTAACAATTTTGAAAGAGACGCCTAAAAGATATTTCCGAAAATGTTGAACGGCTTTCACTACGGCTAGCGTTTCTAGCTCGTAAGAATGATATTTCGGCTCTGTTCCTTGGGTGGACTTGCTAAAATATGCTATGACGCGCTTAAGACCGTCTTTGTGAACTTGTAAAAGGATAGCGCCACAACCGATGGCACTCGCATCCGTATGGAGCTCACAAGGTAGTTGAAGATCAAATATAGCAAGAACAGGTGCATTTGTGACTTTATCTTGTTCTACCCCCCACATAAACGGAACGTTCTTTTTGATTAAGCGTGCAATGCAGGCGGTGCGCTGGGAATAATTTAAAATGTAGCCAGCAAGCCCCAGGAACTGTTTGACCTGTTTTACATTACACGGATTTGGAAAATCAACTAAGGCTTGGACCTTACGAGCGCTCGGCCAAACCTGACCATCGCTTAAGGTCCTCGCCAGATATTCAATTTCACTACTCAGAAATGCACACTTCTTAAGGTTTATAGAAAACCCTGACGCGATTAGTGTCTCTAATATTTATCGTAGCAAGATTAAACCCTCGTCTATTGAGTGCGATAGTATGAGAACGTCATCTATGTAAACTAGCACTTTCCCAGATTCAATGAAAGGTTTTAGTGTCTTTGAAATTATCTTTTAATAAACTACAGGTGCATTACAAAGACCGTAAGGCATCTTTACATACTCGACCTTCGGGGATCACGAACCCTGTCTTGGCAAAGGATCTTCCTCCATTGGAACTTGGTGGAAGCCCGTTGCCATGTCTAAACTGGTAAAAAATCTACTGCCTGACTGGTAAAAATCTCAACCCTAAGCGATTTATATGGTTATCAATGACCGGCAACGGAAATTTATCTTTGACGGTGCGTGCATTCAAGCCCCTATAATCGACGCACATCCTATCTGAGCCGTCCTTTTTCGTAACTAAAATCACTGGGCTCGCGTACGGCGATTCGGTTTCGCGTGTAATACCTTTACTATTAAAATCATTATCAATATCGCGAACGCGCAATTTTTCGTTATGTGATAACCGATAAGGTCTATAGAGAACCGGCTCTTCGGTAGTTAAAGTTATTTTCTTGGCACCCGTTGTGACTGTCGATGTAGCTGTGCCTGATATGAACGAACTCGAATAATCACTTATAACTGACAAAAGTCGTTCCCTATCTGCGCTTACAATCGGTATGTCTACACTTTTAACATTTAACTGAATATTATTTACCGCAGCTGTTACTTCTGTGTGAGTCAAAATCTAGACGCCGTTGTGTCGGATATACGTTATACCCTCACGATTTAAAATGTCCGTACCGACAATGACCGGGGTACTAATAGGTACAATGATGGGGAACTATGTATAGATCGGCTTCGATCGAAATGCGAGGAAATTCGAGGTACTTTCGACGAGTTGACTACAATGCCTTTTAATACGCGATATGTCGGTTTGGGACTAGTTTTAAAATGTTTCAAAACCGAACTCGATATCAGTGAGATACAAGAACCGCTGCCTACTAAAACGTCCATCGGTATGCTTTGAACAATTGCACTTGTGACGTCATTGCTATACTTGATAACATTGTCATCCAACTTACTTCAAAAATTAACGCTATGAGTGTTCAGGCTCGAAGATTCCGAGCGCTGTTTAGCAAAACAATTATCAGCTATGTGGCCCTTCTTTTTACAGAACGTACAAGTTTTATTCGGGGGCGAAAGACTTTTCCGAACCTGAATTCACATGCAAACGCTGTCTCTTAGCACTATGGCAGTCAATACGCTTATGGCCAAACTTGCCACAAAAATTAGACTACTAGACTTTTAATAGAATTAGACTAGACACCTTATGTCACTATTAATTTTCCCGCCATCACTATGTCTCGCAATGGAATGGTTACTAGCACGTGGTGCACGAAAATATTCGCGGGTAGATTTAGAAACAATTTTGAGTTTCACGTACATCGCCAAAAAATGTACCAGATCATTCGGTTGCAGTTTTGCATTCGTCGCGGCGGCTTTAACGCGAGGATCTACAATGCCCCTAAGTACATACTATGGCAACAATTAGTTCATCTGACAAGCCCCGTACTAAGGCTAACTTCAATAATAAACGCCTAGCGTACTCAGCGTAGGTATCATAACCTTAGAATAATAACGCATAGAATGATAGTTTCATATCAAACGAACTGTCACAAGTAAGGCAAAAATCGAATTCATGTAGGCTAGTTTTAGTAGTAGGTTAATTTTCAATATTAGTGAATATTTATATAAAAATACAAGTTGAAACGCGTTACTTCCTTGTGGAATGTGATGTTAGTATCTATTTTATGTTTGTCTGACGTATTTTTACACTCATTTACCGCACATTTCGTCATTTTTAGCTAAAATTCTTGAGCTGTTCGCGGTGCAAATTGACCTTGAGCGCTGAAGGCCCGCCCGCTCGTGTAGGCCCTTTGGGAGCGCTTCAATTTGCCTCACTTAGCGTGTGCGGACTAGGTTTCTATGCGTTATTATTCTAAGATCATAACCTTTGGAATTCGTGGACATCACTTCATAGACAATAGACACAATATCATCGATGTCTCGGGGGTACAAAGCTTTAAAATCGTGTTTAAAATTTGTCCATGAGCGGTCTGAACAAGACTAATCATGCAGCCAAATACGCGCATCGCCTTTTAAACAATTACCGATTCGCGATAGATACTCATTATCGTCCCAATCGTTCGTTTCCTTAGCCCTATCGACTTCCTCACTCCAGAAATCGATATTGTGCACTTTTGGATCGAAATTGAAAATGAAATATTTAAAAAAAAGTATGAGTATAGATAAAACAAATATGAGTATGATATTTAATGATTTCTTTTAATTGTGTATGTATTTTTATTTGACCTCTTTTCATTCAAATATTTTTTCCTTCCTTTATTTTCGTGAATAAATTTCTCCGTTTGCAGTGGCACCACACTATAACAGTGCAGTGGCACCTTTAATTTTTTCCATCCCACCACAGACTTATAAATGGAAGCATCCCACAGACGCAAACGGTGAAGCATACCAGAATAAAAAAGATCGTCGTTAAACCATTGCGATAAACAGCTTGTCAATCTGACGGACTATATGGTAGAATTTAATTTTAGGTAATAGTAATATTGACAATAAGTTTGACACTTTGCGCCGTAAACCTACCAAAAATACCAAAGTGAAACGAAATTGGTCAATTGTATTTTGTAGTAAATGTACCCGTAGTTTTATTTATGACTAAGTGAAATTTTTGTGATTCGTCCTATCTTTGAGACATATCATTTCCGTCCGTATAGCAGAGTGGGCGGACGGTGCTCGACCATGGCAACTGGAAAGGGCGGGCGGTGAAAGTTTGAGGTGGTGTGGGGTTTGTAGAGCGCGTGAGGGCGAGGGTCCGCGGCCCGTGACATCATGGGTGTGGGCCTGCAGCCGCTTGAGTTCACCGAGTGCCTGGCGGATAGTCCTGCCTTTCGTGAGAATCTGCAGCGCCATGAGAAGGAGCTGGAACGCACCAGTCAGCAAATCAAGCGTCTCATCAAGGAGGTCAAGGATGTAGTGCAGGCCGCAAAGCGTAAGTAACGATCATTCTACAGTCTATTTGCGTTTTATTATCTTTTGTAGTGTAGTTACCTGAGCATTTTATACATATTCAAAATAAAAAATGGTTTGGGTTGTAAAGTCCAATTGAGCCAAATAATTTTAATACAGAATGGTAATTGAAGTTGAGCCATATCCTCTACTGCCAATTTCTCCTTGTACAAATATAAAAGGGAAACAGGCGGTACAGGATACTATAGAGATGTACTTTTAATATTTCAATTAGTTTTTAGTTATATGTTCTAGATAGTTCATGTCAATCTGCACTTCAAGAAATGTTAAGATGGTAAATGTGTTAACAAAAAATAGTTGAGTTAAAATATCTAATGTTGTTGGCATTTGGTAGACATCTCAGCACTAATGGAATGTATGTCAATGAGTTTCATAATTAGTACACATGTGCATCGCATCACTGCACAGAGCCAATGTTCAACATTGGTTGATGACAGAGCACAGCCAAATGCAGTGTTGCTTGTTTGTCTCCTACACTATTGTTGCACTTAAATAAGCAACACTGCATATTGCTGTGTAAGCAGTGGCACACATAGGGAGGTGGATATGGTGGGATGACTCACTACACATAACACTGCAAAAAGCCACCTCTAATGTATTATTGGTTATTTAAGAAAATCTCTAATAGTTAACAATACTTCAATTTACTAAAGTGTGGTTCAATATGTAAACTCTATAGAGTTATCCCTCTTTATAATGGCATCTAGTATGGTTTGCATCTGCATGACATAAGTAGAATTATATGTTTTAACACTTAAAGAGTGAAAGTCTGAGGGTGAAGACTTTGCCCAGCAGTGGGACAATATTGCAGGCTAATTTAAAATAAGAACACACATACAAGGTAGGCTTGTCAAGGTAGTGTTGTCTTGCACAACACTACCTGTAGGTTGAAGAGGAATTGCTACTAATCCTATGGACAACTTAATTGAGAGCATAGGCGCTGTTTTTAAATACTTTTTTATATAATGGATGAATGTTCTTATGGTACATTACATCACGCTAATACGCTAGCCTTAGCTAGGTAGGAAAGTTAAAGCAACTTGAAAAATGTGATTTAAGATTTAACTTAAAATACTAAGTATTAATAGATATGTGTCACGAACTGTAGGCAGCTGTCTTGCCTTATCTGCTGCCGCCATCGCGCGTTGTCGTGTTACAAGGGATATTAGGCTGTTTCCTCATTAGGTGTTTGCTGTTATCAGCTCTAATGCTGTTCATTGTTTAGTCTATCCATTGAAACATTACATGCCTTATCTTACATACTGGATCCTCAATATGATTATGGGCAATGTTGCAAGTGTTGTAATCTATTTCAGCTGTGCATTGGGCAGCTTATTGGTTAATTTTGTACAAGTGGTTCTTGGTGTTAGAATGTGGCATTTGATTGAATTGCAATGTGCCACTTGAGCCATTGTTAAACTGATAAGCTTTGATAGTGGAGATAGTGCACACCTTGCGCCTTTGGCAATATTAATATACTGTTGCTGTATCAAATTCAACTGAAATTAATAAATAAAAAAATAGATTAATACCATTATGTATATTTTTTTAACTTAACAAAACAATAACGCTATCAGTGTCGTGGCGAGTCTCTGCCACATACATCGAACAGTAAATCGATACCTTCAATGAACACTAAGCCAACTTAATTTTTGGACCTGCTCTGTTTTTATTTTGTTTTTTGTTTCTTTTTTTTACAAAATTAGTTTTTTTTTGTTCTTGTTTCTTTTTTTCACAAAATTCGGGGAGCACAATTAAGATTATATTTATATTAGGCAGCCATACTTACTAAGGCAAATAAATATGACTGTTTACAAAAATAACAGAAGATGACCAAAAAATAAAGATGGCATAGTGTTCATTGGAGGTATCGAAATGCAACCCATATCTAAATGATATGGGTCATTTTCTAAAGATGTAAAAAAATGTGTCCCTTTCAATAACTTTTATATTATTGCATGAATGCGAAATATTATCATTATTGCTTGTTTACTTAGTCAGTGGTGATACCCATGAGGGACAACTTTACTTACTGTAATTTTTCATTTGTCTTAGCCAATTCCAAGTCTCCCTGAAGTAAAAATTAATAAAAAAGAAATACTTGTGGAAATAGCAGTATTTCTCACTGAGGATAAACTTAAAATAATTTTCCCATCAAATACTTACCGTACCTTTCCAATTTTTTTTAAACATATATATTTTCTTGGGTATATAATATGTCTTTACATTTTCTTCATCATTAGCGTTATTTCTACTAGAAACTGCTTAATATCAAAAGTCCACACTGCATCACATTCACCTTGTACGTATGTGAGAAGGGGCTCCTGTTGGAGACAGCTGTGCAGATTCAAAAGTATGTCTCTGGTTTAGCAAGAAACTAACATAAATACCAATTTTAGTACCTACCTACTATTTTGCACCAAAATCTTTCTCATTCACCTAAGGCAATCTAACTAAATGAGTGTTATAGTCTTTAAAATGTTATTGTGCAACAATTAGGGAAAGGGGACTTCAAAATTTCTATCTTCACGCATTTGTCGTAATATTCTGTAGTATTTAACTCTTTGAGAATCAAAAAGTATTCAATTCAAAAGTCCTCATTAGTGTCAAATTTTAAGTTGCACTAATGATTAAACATTTTAATGATCAGGTACAAAAAGACGTCTCTAGATATTTTCATTTATAGAATAGAATAGAAATCGTTTATTACTTAACGGTTGTAATTGATTTTAACATTTGTATCTAAAAAAGGTACTCATCCTAACAGTAACTGACATAACCTTTCTCATCATTATCGTCACCATCATCACTCACCATTATCACTATAACCACTATCATCATCATTCATCACCAATGTCATCAAGAAAGAAAGACAAGAATATTCGTTTAAAATGATGATGATGTGGATAAAAATAGAAAATAAGCTTTAAATGAATTTTTCATTCTGAAAATTTGCCACATTTTAGGAAATTTAAGAAATTTTAGGGTATTTTCCTAAAATGGGTTTCCCTAATATTGACAACTATACTAATAAACAACTTTTAGTTTTTTTAGTTTGTTATGTTTGTTACATCTTGTTAAATGTTCTTTTGTGAACGGCAAAATTTGTTATAATAATAATTCGACGGCCCCACCAAATAAACGTGTTAGAACTCACATGCTCAAAGTACACCTCATTATTTTTTTCAGATTTATTTCCCAATTCATTTTATAATTTATATTTTAATTATTCGGTGCTACAATATTTATTGTACAGAAAATAAAATCAATCTCGCACGGATATTGTAAGTATGTATTTGGCACACTACTCTTGCATGTTTATAAATAAAATAAAAATAATTTAGGAAATGAAACTATTTTTCCGGATTTAAATCGCGTATATTTGTTTTTTCAAACAAACCTTTTTTTTGGTTTGTATGTGTAACAATCGCGAAAGCCTAAGAACTCGTTAAAAATCATTTTTCACATATTTCGGGCGACAACGGCCCATAACAAGAAAAAAACAGATAACAAACTAACTTTGTAATATTGTTTGTGGGAATCTTTAAAAAATTTATTGACTTATCCTTCCAGTGGTCGCACCCTTGCGCCGAACATAAGCAGTCGCGTGCGGTCTGTGAGACCGCAACTTTACGCGTTCAGTTTGGGAAGACAAATGAATATTTTCATGGCGTTGTGTAGCACATGATAAAAAAGTCTTTTATCTATATGTACACACATCAAAATAAGTTTGCGATCAATAGCATAAGCTCCTATAATTCTTTAAATTTAACTTTATCAAGAAAAAATCTATGTTGTATGCTTTCTTTAAATAGGAATACCCTGTTTGAAATTAAAATATAAAACTATTTTTTATTATTTATTTTAAAAAATTGAGCCATTAATCATAATGTAATAGTGATAGAAATTTCATAGAAAGAAAAAGACTGTTTAATTAAACTTAAACAACAATTTATTATTAAAAGGTGTGAATTCAATATAAAATAACTCCTCCCCTGGCTCGAATACATGCGAAGATCCTCCTGGGCATGCTGAGGATCAAGTTATCCAGCATTTCCTGGGGTAACCTATCCCATTCTTCAATAGCGGCTTCCCTGAGCTCTGGAACTGTCTGGGGACGTGGCTCACGGTTCCATACTGCTCGTTTAAGAGCATCCCACGCGTGCTCTATTGGGTTTAAGTCGGGCGAGCCGGCAGGCCAGTCTAATCGTGTGATATCGTATTCTTGAAGAGCAGCATTGACTCGTTGAGCTCGATGTGCGGGCGCATTATCATCGACCAGTACAAATTGGTGCCCATGGTTTACTCGGAATGGTCTGACGATATCATCAATAGCAACTGCTTTGTACATGTCTGCTGTCATGAAGCCCCGATACGGGATCAAAGGCGTTCTAGCTCCAATCATAATGCCACCCCAAAAGGACACCGATTTTCCGCCTTGCTGAACTGTTCCAGTGGCAGTTCTTTGTCTTACACGGTCGCCTGGTCTTCTCCAGACACGGACACGTCGGTTATCTGGACGAGTGCTGATTCGGGATTCGTCAACGAAGAGACAGTTTTGCCAAATGTTTTCGTCCTCACCTTCTTCATTTTGCCGAAGTCTAGCCCATTGCAATCTTCGTCGTTGACGTTGCCGGGAATTGAGCGGAGCTCGCCAAGACCTCCGTGCTCGTAATCCAGTCTGGTGCAAGCAATTGCGAACGGTCTGCGTGCTAACTTCAAGCCCAGAGGCGGCCCTGACTTCTGCTTTTATTTTAGTGGCGTTGATTGTTGGATCACGGGCTGCCAGCAATCTAATATAGCGCTTTTGGGCAGCTGTCAAAACAGTTGGGCGACCGCTGCGGGGTCGGTCAGCTAAATTCCCCATTCCGTGATACCTCTGCAACGTAGCCACGACACAGGATTGGGATATAGCAAGTCTGCGTGCTATTACTCTCGTGGTGTATCCTTCTTCCCTCAAAG